AGACCATCTCCTCAAGGCCCAACATCGCATGAAAACTTCGGCGGATACTCATCGCCGAGAAGTTACATTTGAGGTAGGGGAATCTGTGTACTTAAAGTTACAGCCATATAGATTACGGTCTCTAGCCCGTCGATATAATGAGAAGCTCAGTCCATGGTTTTATGGCCCATTGTCATCACAGAAAAAATTGGGGCAGTCGCATATAGGCTGGCACTGCCATCCTCCGCACGTATTCATAATGTCTTTCATGTGTCGCAACTTAAAAAAGCTATGTTCCCTATCACCAATAGTCAGCCTTTACCAGCAGGTCTCAATGAAGACCTCATTCTACAACTTGAACCTGAAACGGTTCTCCAGAAAAGGAAACTCCTAAATGGGCATTGGGAGGTGCTAATTCAGTGGAAAGGTTTACCTTCCTTTGAAAATACTTGGGAAGATTTTGAAACTATTCTCAGCCAGTTTCCTTCATTCCACCTTGAGGACAAGGTGGTTCTCCTTGGGGAGGGTAATGATGAGCAACCAAAGGGAAAGGTTTACCGTAGGAAGAAGTGGAGTAAGAAGCAGGGGAATAATTGACATTTAGGAGGTTAGAAGAATTTGTTATGAAGGGACAGGTGGCCTATGGAGAGTGGAGAGAGAGAAATTCTGTTATGAATAAACTTAGGTGCAGGAGGGAATAAAAGGGGAAGAAGGGAAAAGGGAGAGGCATTTGAAAAAGTTGATTAAGGATGGATAAGGGAGGTGACTGACCCTCGAAGTCAGTATTATTTTTCTGTTTTCCTTCTTTACTTAGATTAGCTTATTTACCGGATTCTCAGTTGTGGAATATTGTAACAGAGTCTGAGTATTTTGGATGTACTGTTTTGCTACCATTAATATAGAGAATTCTTGTTTTGACTGTGAGTGTGATTGGGACTATACTAGATTGCAGTATATTTGATAAATTACAGGTCAGGATCTCATCAAAGACAAACCCCAAACACTCTTAATATCTTGTTTGTTTCCCTAATTGTTTTGTTCATGACTGAAGCTTTCAACTCAATAATGTTTCCCTAATTGATGACAAGTGATAACTATTGTATTGATTGTCATCAATAACTCATAATACTCGCAAGATCCTCAGTAAATGTAAATGAACTGATAACAAAACATCATAATAGCATCTAAACTACTTGAAGAACATTTCATTGGGCGAAACGGGGGTGGTTTAGGGCGAAGAGGCCAGATCTATTCAATACTCCCCTTGCAAGCTACAAAATATTTTTTATTCTTTCATTTTCATTTCCATAGAATCTTGTCAAATAATTCCCACTGGTAATAGTACGTCAAGAGAATGTCAAGACTTAGTACCATAAAGGCATTCAAAAAACATGTAAAAACATAAAACTGTTGCATTTGGATGATTACAACATGTAAGCGACAACTTATTAATCTCAAACTCAACTCGACAAAGGCTGGCAAATCTAAAATCAGAAAAACTAAAGAGTGACCAACAGTCTCTTAGTTACAATGATAAAAATACATTATTGCACTTCACCTTGAGATGCTTTCTTAATGAGAAAGGAAGACATTTCCATTGAACCTTGAAATGTGTGTTTTTTGGAGACAGCTTTGAAGATTTAAGGTAAACAAAGCAAACTAGATACATGTAACCAAGAGTGAGCAAGATCGAATATTCTAGTGATACAAAATCATGCATCAAAATATCATGCTTTAGTCAAGAGACAAAGAACAACAGAAAAACAAAAATTGCAGAAAGGTGATCTTGTGTCTTCGAGATGACTGTAGTATTCAAGTGACAATTTTTATCTTCAAGTTGACTTGGGTTGACATACGAACTAACCAGACACAATAATTTCTAAATTTCACTAAAGTCATTAACTCATTGAGCTTCCTTTTCAAATGTTTTTCTAATGGGGAAGAAGTAAATAAGCATGTCTTCCAAAAACATCACATATATCAAGGAAATTAATGTCAACCAAAGGTAACTAGTCGCAGAGTTGTAACAAGACTAACAAAGCCAAAGATCACAGATTGATACATGATTACACATCACATTGCAGAGCCTGTGCTTTAGTCAAGAGACAACATGTCACAACATGAAAACAGAAATTGCAAATAACTCATAACTAATCTGGACTAGATGCCAATCTGAATACATATAATTTAACTAGATCATGTAACACTATCATTCTGATGCCAACATATTACAAATGTTGATTTCCTTTCACTTTGCATCTTTGAAAGATTTAACTTCTCTATACAACTTCATTAACTGGGGCGCTTCATCATAACGATTCACAAAACTCTATAAGAAGTTTTCTTCAGAAAGTTTAAACGATGTAACCAGGTTATAGGGATTATTCTTAAGCAAATCTGTGGATGACAAATATTGAAAAACTGAAGCACGAGGGATTATTCTCTTCTCCAAGCTAAGTGAGAGAAGATTATACTGCTTCAGAATGACAAAAGGCTCCCAACCCATTTTGTTCACAAAAAAAGTATCACTGCCATTATCTTATCCACAGATGTAATCATACACCAGGGATTCTTTCGAAATGTCGTAAGAATCTCTTCCTCAGACCAACCCCACCTCTTGTAAACATCAATCTTCTTATCCCACACAAATTTGGGAATTACCAACATTATATAAATAGCAGTAACAAACTATGATCTTATAGTATTGATGCCCATTTCCTTTACCAAGTCCACAGTCTCTTCAAATTGACTAGAGTCATTTATAAATTTTGAAGGCCAATTACTAAGTAACCTAACAATATTCGATTCAAGCACACCATTTTCTCGTAAATAACTGACTTTAGGTGCAATCAATTTTTGAAGATCACGATAAAGAACCCTTGGAGAGTGTTTAATAGCAGTAATAGCCTTTTCACTAGATTGAAGCAAGTTACTAAGGTAATGAAAGAAAGGGATTATTTGGTTTTTTAAGCTCCTTTGTAAGATAGCAGGGTCCTGACATAAAAGTTTTGCACGATCACGACTTGAAATGCCTTTGGAGTGAAAAAAAACTGAAGTTTTGGCAAAAGGATTTTATCAAGATTGCACAAAGGCATTTTTGGGCATTTTTTGATGAGGTCTGAGATTTGAGTTTCTGAGAAGCCATTGCTCTTGAAAAAGTTTACCACCGAGTCTGGTCATTATGGAGTATCAAATTGAACTTTTTTGGATGCCTTTAGACCAGATTCAAAAGACAACCCACATGAATTAATAAGGTAAGAGACAGCAAAAGATTGTTTATCCGAGTTGCTTGAGATGTATTTGACAAAAATTGGACACGAAAAATCTTGAAATTTATTAGGGTTTAATAGAGATAAGTTAGCGTATCTTCCATGACTATGAAGTAAATTTCTAAAGAGAAAATTAAACATCATAGTTGCAAAAGTGATTGAACAAACTCACCAATGCTTGAGAGTTGAGAAAATTTCTTTGAAATCTTACATTAATTTGTATTGCCATTGAACTTGAAATCTTGAACAGGTGAAAGTAAAACCTGGAGCGCTTGGATCATATAGTATTTTATTAGAGGGGTATATTATATTAACGGAAAGAAATATCATGTTATAAATTACTGAGAATGTTTAGAAAATGTGTTTGGTTGATTTGAATAAATTAGTGAATAATATGTATGGTTGCGAAGATAAATGGATGAGTATATTATATAGATTACTAAATTGCCTTTTTTTTTTAATAGTAATATAATAGTATTTTTTGAATATCTTTTTTAACCTCCTACATTTGAAATTTTGCTAAAACACCCCAATCATATAAAACTTTAATTTACAGCAAAATCATACCCACCCACCCCAACCCACTGCCAGCAGCCAGCCACCACTGTCGGTCATCGTCTACAGTCGACATAATGGCACATAACTGGCCGTATATGGTCGATCGTGAGCTAACAAAGTTGAAAATGGCTCCATGGCCAGAAAACGACCAGATCTATGACCATTTCACGACCATAAAAATGCTAGATCTGGCTGTTTCCAACCATGGATCACAGATCCATGGCCAAAAAAGGTCTTACCAGCGCACAACAGCCAGATCCCGCCGGTCGTGCACCATTATGACGACTGACGCTGACAGCCCGCGGTGGTCTTGGGTGGTTGGGGATATTTTATTAACTTTTAAACTTTTTTATGGCTGGGGTATTTTAGCTAATTTCTCAAATGTAGGGGGGGTTGAGAATTGTTATTTGGTAGACATTTGAGAGTAATTGTGCCTGATAATCAGTAGAAAAATCAGTAGAAAAATCAGATTACCCCAGTAATGTTTTAATAATGGCCCCTAATAAGGTAATAAGATTACCCCCCACATTACCAAAAGTAAACATTATTTGTAATAAAAGATTACCATCATATTTTATTACTTACAAACCAAATACTGGAATCTTATAAAATAAAAGAAGATTACTCCCGTTATCTTATATACACCTGATCCAAACAGCTCTAAATGGTAAGTTTAGAATTGCAGGCGGACTTCACATATTTATCGGTCCAACCAAATCGTATGCTTCAAATAAGGTAATGCATTATTTTGGTGCAAGACAATTGGAGCTCTTGTAAGTGTGGCTTTCAAAATAGCCTTTCTCATCCATAACTACAGAAAATACCTGTACACACCCTACCCTTAGAATTTTCCTTTAAATATCAGACTTGACTTATTTTGACTAACACAATTACAAATATACCCATGGTCATCATTCAGATTTGACCAGTTTACCCTCAGTGAATTTCTTTTAATTTTGCTTGAAATCAAGAAGAAAATTAAACAAAAGTTAAGAACTTTGACTAAAAAACTTATAGATTCTGAAGCAAATTAAGAACAAAAGTTCGGAAACTAGACAACCCAGATGAAAAAAAGAAAAAAGAAAAAACGAAGTCAGATATAGAGAAAAGAAAAAAAAGGTAAGTGGATGCTTACTTGGATTTGGNCACAAATTTCCAAAGAATGTTGGATTATATAAATATGAATTGATCTCTTCCCTATAAATTTAAATAAGTAAATTTATGTTCTCTGACCATTGTGATGAATAAAACATAATTTGTGACATACCACATCACGCTCAGCTGATTTACTGATGGGATCTGACTTCAATTCTGTTGCCAATGGCTGATCTATTAAATATAATGTATAAGAAAAAAAAAAGGATTAGATTTTTTCATGGCATCAAATTACAGAAAACTAAAAAAAAGGGAGCACTTAAATACGCACAAATAAATTCAAGATAATCATCACATCAGAGAAGCAAAATCAGATAACAATACAGGGAAATCGAGTTTGACAATCAAAACTCTAATTAATACAATCGATGGTTAAAGGTATAAACTTCCCACTTGCATGCCAAAAGTACATCTATCCAGTGAGCTTCAAAAAGATAAATTCATGTATCCATGTCATAATAGTAATCTACTAAATGAGGTAAATAAGACAATTTAAAATCATAAAGTCATTTCCAACAATCCACATCAATTCAATTACTCAGCAATTCAATATCCCAAAACAATAAAATCATCTATCACGAGGGTTAGTAATCTTCATTAAATTTCCAACAGCCCTCAATTGCCTCAACTTCTAGAAATCAGCCTTCCACTAATCACACAGTTCCGTCCACTCACCACATCCAAAATTCCCACTGGGTCAGTCAACAAAGTCAACTTCTTCTTTAAAAGTACTAAACCATAAATCTCGAAAACTCACTTAGCAAAATAAAAACATGTATCACACAAGCAGCCGCTAATTTTCACTAAATTTCAGACGGTTCTTAATAACATCAACTTTTGGAGCATCAAGTTCGCATCCCATTAATAAAACAGCTCCATCCTCTTCATCACATCCAAAAATATCAACTTTTATTTATTAGGATAACAAAGAAATCTCTTAAACCCACTTAGCAAACTCAGTTTTGACACTATGCCCCTCTTGACAAACCCTACAATGTTTGATAAGCAAGGAACTGCCAACTTCTCGTCAACAAAATAACCCCAAAGAATCAGACCCCAAACCATATAAACCAAAACACAGTCCCGCAGTTTCACCAAAAACTTCAAAAGACTAAAAACGCAACACCAGCTAAACACAATGGAAAAAGGGAAAAAAAAAAGTACCTTTCTCAATGTTCTTTTCTCCAGCCATTACAAGTCTTCTTCAAATACCCAATTAGCTCCTGTATATAAAAATATATCTACATATATTAATACTTCAATTAAGATATCCTACAGAAAAAAAAAATTCAGAAAACAATTAAATATAACAAAAATGGACAAGCACGTGTAAGCACACCCTCCAAATTTAATATCTTCCAAGAAAGATTCGATTCCTCTTAAATACAAAGTACAAATATTCTCCTTTTTCTTCTGAAAACGATATATCCTTTAAAAAGAAAAACTTTTTTTGATATTCTGAAGCCAGGAAAAATAATTTATAATAAAAAGATGATCAAAGCTTAGATATTTTTGAGGAAAAAATAATCAGAAATTTGAAATTTCAGGAAAAATAATTTAAAATAAAAAGATGACAAAAGACAAAAGTTTTTATTTCTTTTTGGAGAAAATTCAGTTTCATTGAACCAAAAAAAGGGTAAATTCAAGGGGCAAAAAAAAAAAGCTAAAATATCATAACCCTACTAAGTTACCGGGCATTCAACAATGACAACGATGACAATAACGATGCCCAGTAACGTTACAGGTACCAACATTTTAATTTGTCTAATTAAAGAAAAACAATTTCTTTAAGAAATTGAAGAACCTAAATTAAAAAGAAAATCAGTAAAATAAAAAGTAAAAAATAATAATAATAAATTAAATGAAATTAAACATAAACTACAAAGCAAAATAAAAAATTTTAAAGACAAAACAAAGAAGACTTCACATTCAAACTAAAACCACAAAAAGTTAGAAAAAATTACAAAGAAACCCAAAGCGAGTAACAAACAAACCTAAAATCGACGGATCGAGCAGCCGGAAGCGATCTGAGAGGATAAAGAACCCGATCGGGAAGCCGCACAACCGCTTCCGACCAGCCGACGGACGAAAGGCGGCTTTATACGGCGAGGGAGCGGAGGTCGAGTAGAGTGTGCGGTTCAAAGAGAGAGAAGGAGAGGGAGAGTCGGAGCGGAGCTACGAGAGTGAAGTAAGGGTTAATAAAGGAGAGAATGAAAGGATGAGATTAGTTCCTGCTTTTGAGAAAAAGTGATTGGGACCGTTGGATGTGAGGTATAGGTCAAAAAGAGGAAACGGAAATAGGTACGCACAGTAGGGTGTTCAAAAAATGTAAAAACCGAACCGAACCGCTAACCGAACTGAAAAAACGGTTAACCGAAAAAACGGTTCGGTTACGGTTTGAAAAATCAAAAAACCGAATTTTCGGTTCGGTTACCGGTTCGGCAAAATAGAAACGGTTAACCGAAACCGGTTTTCTAACCGTGTTTTTATTAAATTAATACCTAAACTAAAATAAATCCCTAATTCACTCAATCTAAATCCCAACCCAAATTTTTTTTCTAGTTTCTAATGTATTGTCTATATTTACAATTTAATTTAGGACAAAATTAAAAAAAAAGTTTATAAAAAAAAAGGGGAAAACCGTTCAAAACCGTTAACCGCTTTTTTAAAACGGTTAACCGGTTTTCCCAAAACGGTTCAGTTTCGGTTCGGATGTTTCCGACCGAAAATCCGGTTCGGTTTAGAAAAGCGGTTAACCGGTTCGGTTAACCGCTTTTGAACACCCCTACGCAACAGAGGGATGGAAGCAAGTCCCAACGTGTCGGGAACAGTGACATTTTTCTTTTTTAAATAATTAATTCAATTTAGTAATGGGATATTTTTCCGTTCGGAGATTTAATAAATAATAATTACTTCTATAATTTTAAAAATAACAATATATATTCTCCAATCTCATGTATGATTAATTAATAAATATTTATTCAATTGTCCCTCTTTTATTTATTTTAATGTCAAAAACTTGTTAGAACTTAGCAATACGATAATTTCCATAATTATTATAATTATAATAGGATTTTTGTTAATCTAAGGGATATTATTGTATTGATCCTTGATTAATTAATTTTTGTGTTTGAGTGTACCATTTCTTTTTGGGGCAAATTCAATTTCTTCTTATTTTATTTTATTTTTGGTTTGGATAAGGTGGATTTTTTATTTTAGATTTTAGAATATATTTATTCTTTTTAATATTTGATTGTTTTACATATAAGAAATGGAAATTGGAAAAAAGAAAAAGAGAAGCTACTCGATTGTTTCTTGATGCATTTATTAATTTTGAGTTAATTTGTTTCCAAAACTAGCACAAAAAATATTACAAATTCTAACACCCAAAAATGTCGCTATATATATTTTAATTTTTGTTTTATTATTTTTCAAAATTGAAGGGTATTGTGTATGATTTTTCCATTAAGTTCGGAGAAGTTAGAAAAACACAAGGATCTAGTTCGACCTAGAATTAATTCGACTCGGCACTTGTCCGACCCAACACAAGCTAGTCGCGGTTAACTTTGTCAATTGTTCGACAAGCCACATATAAGCTTAAATCTCGGATATTTCGAAAGAGATCAGATCAACAGCAATGATAGCGCGATCTTAGTACACAATCACGAGAATATCAGAATTATAATTTGAATTTGATTGCAATCCCGATAATTTCTCTTTTTCCTTTTTTATAAACTTATATATAAATCCCCTCCAACGATGAAAGAGGGGTTAGCAAATTATTCTAGGCAAGCTTATTGTTATTCTTGTAACCCATCAAAAGCAATAAGATAACAGTGGACATAGGCTCAAGTTCTAACTTGCCGAACCGCTTTAAAATCGTTTGTGTTCTTTACTTTAAACATAGTTTTTCATTACTTTGCTGGTTTTCATTAAATCACGAACACATCGGTTTCAATTCCACCAAAGTTAATCAGATCACTTAGGTTGGTGCAATTTTTGTATCAACATTTTGGCTTTAGAAGGAGGGCCTCAGCCTACTTTCCCTATTTTCCACAAGAAACAAGCAATTTCAGTGAACAACTGATCACCTAAAATTTCCAATGGCATGTACCAGATCTAAAACAACCACTAGAAACCACAACAATGTGGAAGTCGCCCACTAGGAGGTGCATCAGACCGTTGCTCCAGGTCGACCACCAGTGTCGCTAGTGTCACAGGTCGCAAATCAGTAGGGAGTAGGGACTTTTGATCTTGAGAATGGCCAACTGATGGAGATGATAAGGACGATGGTTGCATAGGCGGTACAACAAAACGTGGCTGAGTTCAGAAACGAGCAGCTGGCCAACCGAGACCTTGATCAACCACGTTTCATAGAGGTTACTCCTACAGGTCGAAATAACTCTGCTGGCTACCAATCTAGTTCATCAGCACCAAGGAGCTCCGTTTTTCGCTCACGAGCATGAGTCTCACAGGCAAGTTAACCCTAAGAGGTGACCAGGTAAACAACCTATGGGGGAACATGAAGGCAATGGTCGTCAAACGGATGCTCCCCCTAATCGACAAAACACCCAATGCCACCGTGCTGGTTTTAACCCATGCTAGAAGAGAGCTCAAACCTCGCAAGCTCACGAGATTAGCCATGCACGCCAATCTGGCAACAACCGATGTTCCGATTTTAACCAATGTTGCAAGCAACATATCAAAGAAGATGATAACACCTACATCCTAGCCATCATGACTCCACCTCACGAACTAGCACGCATGACAGAGCAAGCTCACAAGAGATTAATCTTTAAACTTATCTGCTCGAGGTAAGGCTGAATAGAGCTCGTAGTCAGAATACTCCTTATGATGACGACTTAGATCGGGTGTAGAAAATGCTCGATGATCTAAGAGCCCGCCAGAATAATTCAACGGAACAAATAGTAAGTTCTCTATTCACGGAGGAAACCTGTCATGCCCTACTTCCCTAGGGATTCAGGGTGCTTGAGAACAAGTTCGATGGGAAAGTGGATCCCAAAGATCACCTTGATTCCTTCAACGACTTAATAAAGCTACATTAGGTCTCCGACTTAGCAAAGTGATGCTATTTCATGGTCACTTTAGTAGGAGATGCCAAGAGGTGGTATAAAAGGTTGAAGGCAAACTCAATCCAATCGTGGCAATAGTTTTCCTCGCTCTATCTCCAACAATTCTAGGCGAGGAGACAATTCACCATGTCGCTCAATTATCTGAGTAATATTCGGTAATAGTTTTCCTCGCTCTATCTCCAACAATTCCGGTTTTAACCAATGTTGCAAGCAATGTATCGAAGAACATGGTAACACCTACATCTTAGCCATCATGAGTCCACCTCATGAACTAGCATGCATGACAAAGCAAGCTCACAAGAGATTAATCTTCAAACTCATCTGCTCGAGGTAAGGCTAAATAGAGCTCGCAGTCAAAATACTCATCATGATGACGACTTAGATCGGGTGTAGAAAATGCTCGATGATCTAAGAGCCCGCCAGAATAATTCAAAGGAACAAATAGTAAGTTCCCTATTCACGGAGGAAACCCGTCATGCCTTGCTTCCCCAGGGATTCAGGGTGCTTGAGAACAAGTTCGATGGGAAAGTGGATCCCAAAGATCACCTCGATTCCTTCAACGACTTACTGAAGCTACATTAGGTCTCTGACTTAGCAAAGTGATGCTGTTTCATGGTCACTTTAGTAGGAGATGCCAAGAGATGGTGTTGAAGGCGAACTCAATCCAATCGTGGCAATAGTTTTCCTCGCTCTATCTCCAACAATTCCAGGCGAGGAGACAATTCACCATGTCGCTAAGTTATCTGAGTAATATTCGTCAAGAGAAAGATGAAACTCTGACCTTGTATTTAACAAGATTCCGAATGAGCAATCCAAAGTTGCGAACGCTTCTAAGGAATCAATTCGGACCCTATTGATTGCTGGAATAAGGCCACAAATGGAGTTATGGAAAGAACTCCAGAGTGAAGACCATGTTAGTTTGGCCAAGTTCTACCAAATGGCAACCAAACATCAACGAGTTGAGAGCTCGCTGGCAACCTTAGTAGGTAGTTCCTCAAGAATAGCCCTCGACCAGTGGCAAGATCGCTCAGCAAACAAAAGGAAGGGCTAGGATCAAAATTACAAGGACCGAAATGGTTCCCAAAAAGACAGAGAACGGAATTCTACGGGGAAAAACAACATTTTCCGTGGTATGTAGAATACACCCCCCTGATAGAATGTGTCACACATCTACGAAGTCTCTCGCGAGGCTAAAACATTGCCCTTTGTTAGAGTAGGTGCCCTAGAGCCAATCAATTATTGTAAAATTGATTCTGTAATAAATGCTTATTTATCAATAAAAGGCATATTCTTCTATGTCATGTATGTAATGATATATGTCCTTAGGATGGTAGAACCGTGACGAGGGTATCAAGTGTTTTAAATCTTGATAATGAGAACCTTATGATCACATATGGTGGCGATTCTAGAAATGTCCGTAGCCCCAATATTATTCTGACCAAGGACACAGATAATACGGTAAGGCTATCATAGTGTTGAACAACCCTGTCAAAAGGCAATGACTGATCTCACTTGTCAAGGTTGTTTGTCAACAACCGGGTGTAATGCATGGGTGCTTACTAGAGGCAAGTTTACTAGACAGATCCACTAGAGGATTCCATATGGATGGTAACCCTAGTGTCTATGGAATAAATCCTCTAATAGATGGTGGTGCATGTGATCCTTAGACTTGAGATCATCGGAGCACCTTGTGCACCAATTGGTGTAGTTTGACACTAGCCTAACGTAGTTCTATTTAGAGCTATCAATACAGTAGTGATTGGCTACATTGAGAAGTGTATCGAGACTATGGCGGATCGACAAATGATTCATCACTCCTGGGTACAGGAGAAGTTATCTCACTAGGTAATTCAGTAAATGGCAATGACACTGAATCTGTGGCTGCAGTTGGATTGAGTTGATGTTCAATCCAATTTAATATTCATGTCATTGGTCTAGTAACTGAATACAAACATGTCAAGGATATCTCAGGTTGACACTATTTTTGTACCTCAGTCTCGATGAGATAACAGTTGATGAAAGGATTTGATTGCATGGTAACCAAACAATTGACAGGCTGCAATTTCACTGAATACGAATCTATCGGG